TACGTACACCGAGCCGTGTGAGGATGATTTATTTTAAGTGACACAATGCTCTCTCTCTATCTCTATCTCTCTCTCTCTGACTAGATTCTGTTTCAATGTTTAAAGTAAATTTTCTGTTAAAAATGTTTAACAGTTTTAGGCGAATAACGTGATTATTGAGCAATATCAGCGTCGTTGGCTTTTCTCAAAGGGAATCATACATTTCTTTCATATTCAGGCTTGATTCAGTCTCAAGCAATTGGGGTAGCGCGTTACACACTTTCTTTACATAATACACTTCGAAACTCTGCGATTTAGAACGTTTCCCATTCGCCGAGAGTCAAGAATCGAGTCGGACGCTTCTCGTCCGATAATTGCCTTCCATTTCAATGCCTGTCACGTTCTCGAGAGCATAAGAAGTAAACTAGCGTGAAATTCCGAAAGAATCGACCAGCAGGCCCGGAATAATCATCCCGAATGCGAGCCGAACAATGTCTTAGGCCGGCAACGTCAACAACGTCACGCCGTTCGTCTCGGCGAGCGATACCCATCAACAACGGACGTCTCTCACCGGGACACGAGGTCTCCCTCCGCTTCTCCGGGTGAAAATGGCGCTGAATATTTCACGGCCGAGCCCTATCGGCTCTACTCCAATTATTTGACCGGGAGAAGAAGGCAGGAAGGCATGCAGTCAAATATTGTAAACGAGTCCGAGCGAGGAGGATGCCGGGACGAGACTTCGGAAGCTGCAGGAGATCAGGTATCGGCCCGCCCGACACCCCGCGGCTACGCCTTTAAGAATATCGACGCGCGGGTGCTTTTTCCAGCGCATTCGCCCTCACGAGGAGCGAAAGGGCGAGAGCGAGCGAGAGACGGCGAGGGAGGAGCGGAGGAAGGGGGGGGGAGGAGAGGGCGAGATCCACTTAGCACGCCGCTTAGACGCGAAAACATCTGTATTGTCGCTGCATTAGCGCCGAGGATTCAACCCCCCGTGATTGCCGGGGAAAATTGTAATCTTTTTCGTGGAAGCCGCCCCGCCGGGAGCGCTCCTTAAAGCGAGAGAGGTTTCGCCGAGGGGGGGGGGAGAGAGAGAGGGGGGAGGGAGGGAAACCAACTCGATGCTGTCGAAGGTTTCGTGTGAATCGCTAAACGGACAACATATGCGAGGAGGACGCGATATTCTCATTTCACGTCTCTCTTTCGGCTTACATCTCTTTACCGCGATTGAGATTCATGGCGCATTCAAGGAGGCGCGACTTGACGCCGCACGCGCCCTCCGCTACTCCCCCCGCGGGTCTTCTGCCCGCTGGTCAAGGTGAACTTATTTAATTTCGTTACCTCTCTTTCTTCGGAAAGAGGAGCCGGCGTCTCATTTACAATTCATGATATTTGCAGGCCGGACTTTGTATACCGATTTCGAAATCGCAAACTCGTCCGGCACCACCGTTCGCCGTTTCTCGCCTCCCGGGGCCCGAGAGCGCCGGGCGCGGACCGAGCGATCGCAAAAAGACCATCGGCAGATCAAGAGATATATTAGCGATGGCCGGTTCCCAGTTCGTTTCTAATAAAATTCACGACGCACCGGCGGACAATGGCGGCCCGCTGGCCGGGAGAAGAGAAAGGAGGGGCCCACCTTCTTCAACAATTCACCCTGCAGATCCTCGCGCGCGCGACAAGCTGTCTCGGCCGTCTGCCATCTCCTGGTCGCGACAACGGCCTTAAACCGGTAGTACGTGGGTACTGGTAAGCAGGCAGACAGGCAGATACATAGAGGTGGGCATAATGCGCGTGCACGAATCGCGCAGAATGTGGGATTCGGCTCGCTCCGGATCGGGCGTACGATTAACGTACGGATTAGGATTAAGCTCCAACGTGGATCTTCGCTGCGCCCGAGCGGACCGCAGCGTCGGGGAGGCCGGTACCTCGGCCAGGAGGGTCTCGAAAGGAGGGGCTCGTCGCGAGGGGGTATAGACACACGGGTGGCCCCCCCCCCCCCGAGTACCTACAATACCCGGGGTACGTACGCGCTCCCCTCCCCACGAGAGGGAGAAAGAGAGGAAGCGTTTTTCACGCTCGATTCTCCGTGTATCGTGATACACGTCGGCCCCCCCTCGTGCCCCGCTACGAAAACCGGAGGGGAGACGACAGTCAATGCACA